CTAGTTTGCTAGACATCTCAAGTCGGAAAAGAAATATGAGAAAATTGGCGTTATAGGGTGTGTTTCTTGTCATCAGACTTTTGAATTCCTTGCTGATTACAGCTTTCGCACGTAGATTCTGTTTCGGCGGTGCTCAAGCTATCCGACTTTGTTCAACGGATCTTTTTGATAGCGCCGTTGTTGCTCACCCAGGAACCGCCTCTAAAGCGGAAATACAAGCCATGAAGGTATTTAAATCAGCCCTTTTCGTAATGTTCATTAACGGTATATTTGGTCAGATTGCAACGTCTTGGATTTGCGCGGAAGGTTGGTCCTGAGTCATACTTGTCACCATCTACAGGGAGGCTAACTTTTTTGGCTCTCAGAGGATGGTATGTTCCCAACGCCACTTCGTAACGAGGCAGAAGCCATCTTCAAACGCAAACACGAAACTGATAAATTGAACTATGAATTCCATGATTACAAAGGTTCGTGTCTGTGTCTCGCGTTGTTCCAAATTATCCTCACGTTAAAGCAGGAACTGTGCATGGCTTTGCTGCTCGTCCCAAACTTTCCAATGCAGAGATCAAGAAGGCGTTTGAAGCCGCTTTCGACCAAGCAGTCAAGTGGTTCGAAAAAACTCTGCCTGTCGCTGCATAGCTCATCCTGCTTCCTTCTACATTAGCTGTGAGATTGTTGGCATGTCATTCTTAGTCCATTAGTTAAATGACATCTACTTCAATTCACTCATCGCGTGAGATGCACCATAGCGTATACAACAAATTAAAAAAATACAGAAATACGTTAGAAACACTTAACAGACACACAAAGACAAACAAAGCAGAAGTGATATGCAAATCGGAGCTTACTGAGCGCATCAGGAAAATGAGAAGATCAGTAAGTATACCGTATATATTATTGTCTAGAGCCATCTAGACACTACCTTTTCAAGATCCCTGTCTACTACTGGCCAATATAAAGCTTACTATAGATTTAGATAGTGTAGGGAGTTTTAGGTAGTCTAGACGTTCCCAAATCTCCGATGCAGTTGTTTCCTAAAGCAGCCAATATATCAGCATCATGATGCGCCCATTTGGAAGTGTGTTTGTCCCCCCACGATTCTATGAAGGCACTGACTTGCGCAGGCGTGATGCGGCGTATGGAGCTGACTTGCTAATTGTCGAAGGAGGACGCCATAAAACTGATTGGCTGACACCAACAATGTTGAAGGTTTTGTGGCTGCTCCTAGACAGAATAACTTTCCCTTTGTCTGAGTACTCATTGTAAATGTATGAGGGCTATAATATATGTCTCATCCTTATATACCTAGTAACCCACCTGCTGATATCACTGTATGGTTTAAGTTCCTTGCAGCTTGCTTATACCAAATTCCCAAAATTCACAAACAACTCTGGCCAGAAGGTTTTGGTGATTGATAGGAACCATCATTTCAGAACCCCACTTGCAGTATTTGTAAGGGCAACCCTGCTTCCTGTGGTACTCAGACTAGGCTAGCAGAGGGAAATCCAAAGTTTATTATACACTACATACAAGGATAACTAACTATGCTCACCTAGCAGAGGGAAATCCAAAGAGAAACAGTCTAAAGATTCCCTTCTGTGAGGTGCAGCCCCATCTATTCACTATACTAAAAATAGCACTTGGGCAAAGGGTATGACCTAATGGGGAAGGAAGGTGTTAGAGGGTTTCAGAAAGTTCCCCCAGACACTGGGCCATACTATCTTAGCTTCTGAGTCCACTAATTAATTGCTGAACCATTGGGACAAATACATAGCTGGTGACTGGTGTTAAGAACTGAAAACTGACTAATGTCGGTGGCCGACAGGGACCGATCGGAAGGACTTGGCTTCAGCTTATGTGCTGCACCCTCGCAAATATCCGTAGGGTGTCCTTAGATTTCGGATGGGCGAAGACTAATCCTAAAGAGTTCCTTTGGCCGATCGGGACCAAAGGACAAGTTGAGTGTTGGGCCAAGGGGTCGGGGCTGGGAGTGGGCGAGCGTACACGAAGGTGGATGAGGGGATTCTTAGTATGAGACTGTTACAGATGTATGAGGGTATTCTGAGTCGATATTCTGATTGCCTAGTAACTACAACTACAGCGGGTTCATATACAAGTAACAGGCGTCTAGAAAATACTAACGGGGAGAAGGGCGGAAAACGGTATTAACAATAAGCTTGACTAGGAACGGGAAGTTTATGATTAGTTTGGAGGCCGGTGATAACCGAGAGCGGAATTACGATAAAAGGAAATAGTTCAAGGACTACAAATATAGATAGACATATGTGAAACATAGGATTGAACGGATCAACATAATAAAAGGGATGTATCAAAAGTTTAACCAGACAATACGAGTTATTTTGACGTGGGCGTAAACAGAGTTTGATCATTGCAAAAACATACATCAGCTTCGGGGGCCGATGGTTTCCGAAGTGGTGACTTGAAGATGTTGATAAGTGGCAATAACCTCAGGACCGATAGGGTTGCGACACGGTCGTAACACTGGGATAGAACAGGGAAATATGGGGATAGGACACTGGGGAGGTCTTGTACTAGAGGTGTTCTTACATTGCCCCCCTCCCTGACATAGAGCCTTCTCTTAACCCTCTTTGTTTAGATCTTAACAATATATCCAAACTTGATTTTATAAACTGTTATCCTCTAACTATGTATTAGGATCCCCATTGTTTTGGACCCCACAATACCCTTTGTTGTCTCACTGTTGGAGCCCCTGCCCATGGTATCACTACCTGCAGTGCCCCTGACACTTGTTTCATTATAGCTTTGACCCTTTTAGCCTTCCATTCTGTCTCCATCCTGTTTGCTCCCCCTCACCATCTCTCTATATATGTCTTACCTGCCACCTCAGACCCTTTTAGTATTGTTAAGTACCTTACATTTAGTCTCCCCACCTTGTCATTGACTTCCTATGATCCATTTCACCCTTCACTTCCTTGATTGGCCCTCCATTCATCTGTCTTGATCTAGTATAAATTCTTTATATATGCTACATTTCTTTAGTTTGAAAATTGACTTAGATTACCCTCTACTAGTTCTTAGTCTCTTTCTTCCCCTCTCAACACTCTTAAAGATGTTCTCAGCAAGCCATGAACTCTTATCTTATGACCCTTAGTATCTCAGTCCCCTGGCTAATTGAGCTAAGTGTTGAACTTCATCTTTATGGTACTATCTGCTCTGTTTGAAATACTGGAGCACCCTAACAGTTTGTGTGAGGGTGCAACACATAAGTTGAAGCCAAGCTTCACTACATTTATAGAGTCAGACCTCCCAACTATGTAGTATGATCTCTATCATTGGCCCCCTGAATAGCTCTGTAAAGAGTCATAGAAGTTCTGACCGTTTGATATATGAAGAATGTTGACCTTCTAGGTACTGTATGATTAGGTTATATTGACTATCAAAGTACAATATAAGTAAAAGGGGAATAATTGTCACAAGCAACTGTAAGGGAGCTCGAGGTGATTACATAGGACAATAAGTGGAATTGACCTTAATGGTACAATTTAGAGGAAAGACTCCAATGAAATGGAGTCAAGTGAGAATGATTTGCAAGAAAGAAATAAGAAGGCACAAAGAGGTGTAGGCATGATGAGTGAGTTTGAGTATATGATTCTGGGCTTTGATGGTAAGTATGAAGCTTAGAGTAGACACCCTTTCAGAGGCTGCTGTTGACCTTGATGGTGTCCTAGAGAAGTATCACAACTTTGCAGACATTTTCAGCAAATAGTGTGCCAACACTCTAGCTCCTCATAGAACCTATGATCTCAAGATTGACCTTGAGGATGGTGTAGATCCCCCTCTCATGCACATATACACTCTCTCACAATCCAACTGGTTTCCCTTAGAGAATTTATAGATAAACATCTTCATATTGGCTTTATATGGCCCTCCACATTGTCCTATGGTATCCTGATTAATTTTGTTAGAAAGAAGGATGGCTCATCTTTCCCATGCTTCCTTTGACTATCACTGCTTTCTGCTTCCTTAATTGACCCTCCAGTTGAGTGAGCTATGTACATACATAAGTCTTGTCTTCAGTTCTTATCATACTATCTGCTCTGTTTGAAATACTGGAGCACCTTAACAATTTGTACAATGGTGCAATATATAAGTTGAATGTCACGAACATACAAGCTCAAATTCCAATAATATTCAATTCAACTTTCCTTTGACATTTCTTTGACATTTTTTTGACTTTTCAACTCAATTTCTGACTTGACTTCCAACTTGACTTCCAACTTGACATTCTATTCAACATCTTTGACACCCTTGAATTTATTTGACAAACATTCAACTTACATTTAACCTGTCTCATTTCAACATCATATGTGATTTCATTCATAGGTTATAGTTTAATCATACTTTAATGAAGAAAGGCATAAAAGGGCAACAAGAAGAGCAAAGGACCTCAGTCAGAAAATCTCTCTATTGTATATTAGTTATCTGTATTATTAATCTACTCTTGATCTTGTCTTACATGATTGTTGAAACTCTTTGACATTAACATCTGTGAGCCTTTGTGACTGGTATTAGCCTCTCACTTCATTGACAGGGTGAATCTATACTTTGTCAAACATGGTTTCTGTATTTGGTTTTGTAGAATAAATTACAATTATTATTCAACTTAATTGAAGGAAATTTGATTCATGTCAAGCTACTATAATGTACTACTTAGCCAAGTGTATTTGAATAAACTATGAAAGTGCATATGTATGTAGTAAATTGTGAGTTTCCTCAACAACTTGCAACATTGACATAAGTAAAACCAACATGCCTACTTTGCATGTTGTTGAGAGCTCACAGTAAATCTATACACTCACCAAACCCAAAAAAAAAAATTGTGCCTGCAAAATCTGTTCAAAAATTGAAACACACTGCACACTATGTTGAATGAGTAATGGTTGACCTGGATATATTAATATCTTACTGATGACTAATCATCTCAGTAGTAACTGGTTCTTAATAGAACTACTCTTAATGGCCTGATAGCTCAGGGGTTAAGAGCACTAGACATGTAATCCAAATTTAGTGGTTGCTGGTTCAAATCCAGCTCAGGTCAATATTTTCACCCTGCTTATGTAATTCTTACACACTAGACACAGAATACAGTGACTTACAAAATTGTCCCAATGTTTTATGCTTTTTGATTGTTTGATGAATAACTTGAGAGCATCAACAGATATAAACAAAGGTTGGTGTATCAAACATAGTGTTTGATCATGGTTATACCACAAAAAAAGAATTATGTACAGTAGGCAACAAAACTGTTCAGATGTTTCTTTGTTTTGAAAAGATCCTTTAGCATTAGCCCAAATTAAATTCTAAAAATTCTGAATAAATTATGATAGATGCTTTAATATCACTAAATGTTGATTACATAACCATGATGTCATATGTCCATTTATGGTGATGTAATAATAGGATTAATGAAGCTTGTACATCCAAATGGTTTTGTTGCCTGTATTTTATAAACCCTATATACTAAACTAGTACTTGGTATACCCTCCCTTGGCCTTAATTACAACTTCTACTCTTCTAGGCATACTCTCTATCAAGTTCTGACTCACCTCCTTTGGTATCTTTTCCCATTCCACTTGACAGTGCTCCCAAAGCTCCTCCACTTCACTAGGTGGTGTTTCATAGTCAGCTAGCCTCCTTTTCGAGGGTTTAGATCTGGAGACTGTGCTGGCTATTTCATAACAGTGTAGCCATGGTCATCAAACCACTTTTGAGCTAGTTTGCTAGTATGCTTTGGATCATTATCCTGCTAGAAGATGATATCAGATGGAGTTTTTTTGTAAAACTCAAGGGATTGCTGAAGTTCATCCTCCAAGATGGAGCAGTAAAGCTGTGAATCCATCTTCCCTTCAATTCTAGTGGCATATCCAATGCCTTCCCAAAGTATGCAGCCCCACATCATCACACTACCACCACCAAACTTCAATGTTCCCTCCACCTGCCTGTCAGTCAACCCCTCCCACCACCTTTTCTACACCCACTTCCTTCCATCTGACCCAAGATGATTGATTTTGGTCTCATAAGAGAATACAACTCTCTTCCAGTCCTCCAGAGTGTACTTCTGATGTCTCTTTGCCCACTGTAGCCTCTCCCTCCTGTGAGATCATCTCAGAAGAGGGCACTTCTTCTTCACCACAGGTTTTAGACCAGCCTTGTGTAAGACATGACAAACAGTTTGGGAGGAGAGGGACTTATTTGTGACATCCTGAAGAGACTTGGTAACTTGCACTGCATTATCAGATTTCTGCCTGCAAATGAGATGCTTAGCATAGCTGATATCAGCATATGTAAGCTTAGTTGGATGACCACCAGAGGACTTGAAAGCCTCAGGACAGTATTTAGAGTGCATTTTTGAGATAGTTCCAATACTAACACCGGTCTGATGAATAGAGTGCCCAAAGACATTAGAGAGGGGCAGAGTAATGATGTGTTCATGAATAGCAGGGAGAATTGTGTGCATAGTGAATTGTGGGGACAAGCATGCTAAAAGGCCTTGTATTTATACTTGAATATGAACAAATCATGTGACTTTGGGGTTTAAGGTTTAGGTTTTAGGTTGTGGAAGTAAAGTCATGTGATCATGAATATTTTTAGACCACGTCTTTGCTTTGTGAGTCTTGGCAACAAAACTGTTTGGATGTACAAGCTTCATTAATCCTATTATTACATCACCATAAATGGACATATGACATCATGGTTATGTGATCAACATTTAGTGATATTAGAGCATCTATCATAATTTATTCAGAATTTTTAGAATTTAATTTGGGCTAATGCTAAAGGATCTTTTCAAAACAAAGAAACATCCGAACAGTTTTGTTGCCTACTGTAATTCCCATCAATATTCATTGAGATATATGCAATGTAATATAATAACTCATTGGGTCAATTTTGTGAGTATACATTAAAAATATAGTAATTGTAATTCTAGTACTTGGTATAACCTCCCTTGGCCTTAATAACTGTTTCTAGTCTTCTAAGCATACTTTCAATTAAATTCTGACACACCTCTGGTGGAATATTAGTCTACACTTCCACCACTCTCTCACATATCCCCCAAACTCCCTTGGGGACTGTTGGATATTTGGATAGCTCTCTCTTGAGGTGAATCCATTGATGTTCAATAGGGCTAATGTCTGGAGATTGTGCAGGCCAATCTAGGAGAGTGATATTGTTGTCCTCCATCCACTTCTTGGCCTTTTTTGATGTATGTTTGGGATCATTATCCTGTTGAAAAATCACCTCCTCTCCAGAAATTCCACTCTCCTCCAAGCTAGGCAGCATGTGGTCCTCCAAAATAGACACATACTGTCAGCATTCATCTTCCCCTCAACCTCTGCAAGATGCCCCACTCCATTCCACCCCATACATACATCCCCATACCATGATGTTTCCTCCACCAAATTTGACTGTTCCCTGCACCTCTCTCTGAATGAAACCCTCTCCCTTCTCTTTCCAGACCCACTGCTTCCCATCTGATCTAAACCTGTTGATCTTGGTCTCACCTGACCAAATGACCCTCTTCCAGTCCTCCACAGTCCATTCCCTATACTTCTGGGCAAATGCCAATCTTGCCTTCCTATACTTTTGTTACGACCGTGTCGCAACCCTATCGGCCCCGAGGTTATTGCCACTTGTCAACGTTTCAAGTCATCCTCTCGGAAACCATCGGCCCCGAAGCTGACGAATGTTTCACGAAGATCAAACTCCATTTACACCCACGTCAAATAACTCGTATTGTCTGGTCAAACTTTGATACGTCCCCTTTATTATGTTGATCCGTTCAATCTTATGTTTCGCATATGTCTATCTATATTTGTAGTCCTCGAACCATTTCCTTTTATCGTAATCCCGCTCTCGGTTATCATCGGCCTCCGAACTAATCATAAACTTCCCGTTCCTAGTCAAGCTTATTGTTAATACCGTGTTCCGCCCTTCTCCCCATTAGTATTTTCCAGACGCCTGTTACTGGTATATGAACCCGCTGTAATTGTAGTTACTAGGTAATCAGAATATCAACTCAGAATACCCTCATACGTCTGTAGCAGTCTCATACTAGAAGAACCCCCTTCCGCCTTCGCGTGCGCTCGCCCATTCTCGGCCCGATCCCTTGGCCCGACACTTGACCTGTCCTTCGGTTCCGATCGGTATCTCACCGAAAGGTCCTTCTTAGGATATAGTCTTCGCCTGTCCGAAATTTAAGGACAACCTACGGATATTTGCGAGGGCGCAGCACATAAGCTGAAGCCAAGTCCTTCCGATCGGTCCCCGTCGGCCACCGACATTAGTCAGTTTCCAGTTCTTAACAACTTTACACTAAGCAAGGGCATTTTCTTCTTCACCACAGCCTTGAATGAGCTTTTCCTAAGGATTCTTCTGACTGTTTTTGAGGAAACTGGAGTAGAGATGATAGTGTTGATGTGTTTGGCAGCCTGAACAGCATTAGCAGCCTTGCCAGTGGTAATTTGTATAAGGATAACCCTCTGGTCTATGGTAGAAAGCTTGGAAGGATGGCCAGCAGAAGGGGTCTGGTAATTGGGAAGGAGGTTTTGAAGTGTCCTAGAGACAGTAGACTTGCCGATACCAAGTTTGGAGACAATATGACGAGTGGAGATGCCATTAGAGGCCAGAGAAAGAATATTTTCTTTCTGAGCAGAGGAGATGGGGTGCATTGGAAATTATGAAGTTCTTAAATGATTAGCCTTGATTATATAGCTTGAATTCAAGTACTCATTAAGGTTCCAAACCTTAATCAAACTATTTATTAAGGTTTGATTAAGGTTTGACAGCAATAGAATTGATGAAACATCAGATTCTGATATTTTCTGATAGAACTCACAAAATTGTCCCATTGAGCTATTATGTTAAATTACATATATGTCAATGAATATTGATGGGAGTTACATAATTCTTTTTTTGTGGTATAGCCATGATCAAACACTATGTTTGATACACCAACACTTTGTGAATGCTCTCAAGTTATTCATCAAACAATCAAAAAGTGTAAAATAAAAAAATATTGGGACAATTTTGCGAGTCACTGTACATCTGGTACTTTTGGCATCAAATTGAACCTTGGAGTGTCCCATGCTCCTAGAGCATCTTCACCCAACCTCCTAGACCAAAAATGCTGGACCTCAGAGCCCTGCTTGCAACTCCTAGTATGAGGGATACCCCTCTGAGGAATGTAACCATTTTATAGTATCATATTTTTTCCTTTATTTTTACCATATTTTGACTAAGTGAAATCTCTGTTACATGTCCTTACATTAGTTTGAAGATCCATGCATGTGTATGCCTGTGGGTACATAGACTCTTATGGGCACATACTTGCTTTCATCTTATGTAGACTAGTGGGTGTAACAAAGAAGACCAGACACTTTTTACCCCATAACTATGACTTGCCCTAGACATTATTTTAAGTGTCCTGCAAGTTGTGATTGGGGTATCATCTCAGCTGTCTCTAATGGCTATTAGCTACATCTACTCTGAGCTTTGTATTTACCCTCAAAGCCCAGAACCATACACTCGAACTTGCTCATTCTGCCTATACCTCTTCACACCTTCTTATTTCTTTCTTGCAAATCATTCTCACTTGACTCCATTTCATTAGGAGTCTTTCCTCTTGTTAGGATCCTCACCCTTTCGGGCTCCCACAACTTGGTCTTATCAGTGCTTTGGGATCTGGAGCCACTGCCTCAGGACCCTGACACTTGGTTGATGTTGACTTCCCTGTCTTTCACCATTGTAACCTGTAACCCTCCAGCATCCTGACATTGGAGCCTCCAGGACATGGCACCACTGCCTCAGGACCCTGAAACCTGTTTTGTTGTAGATTACCCCTTTAGGTATTCCATTCCATCTCCATTTCTGATGCTCTCCCTTCATCCATTCTACATGTAAATGTTATTTGCCACCTCATACCTCTTAGAATACTTTTGTTACATCACATTTAGTTCTAGCTTGTTCCTTGTTCCTTCCAATACTTCTCTTGACTTGTCATGATCTCTTGCTTCTTTAATCAGCCTTCTGATCATCTGT